AACAGTACCACCACAGCCACACCATAACAGTACCACCACAGTCACACCATAGCAGTACCACCACAGTGACACTATAACAGTACCACCACAGTCACACCATAGCAGTACCACCACAGTGACACCATAACAGTACCACCACAGCCACACCATAACAGTACCACCACAGTCACACCATAACAGTACCAACACAGTCACACCATAACAGTCCACCACCACAGCCACACCAAAACAGTACCACCACAGTCACACCATAACAGTACCACACAGTCACACCATAACAGTACCACCACAGTCACACCATAACAGTACCACCACAGTCACACCATAACAGCGGAAGTCACACTCTTACCCTGCCATACATTGTGTGTCATTACCACCACCACCACCACCATCACCGACATCACACTACAACTACCGCTGCCACACCACTGCCATCACAGCTGGCACTAATACCACCACAGCCCCACCACCACAGGCCAGCGCATGCACTGTCACAGTACCACCACACAGCCACCACCACAGCCACACCACAGCCAGGCGGGAGAGTTCCTCACGTGACCAGCTCCAGGGCATCAAACCACACACATGACACACGACCCACTCTTTTATACCATTCATGACGGTTCCCATTTTCAGTGATCATCATTCCCCCTTCCTGTTACACCCCTTCACCATCACCTACCTCTCTCCCTTTCCCCCTTCCCTACCTCTCTCCTCCCCTACATCTCCCCTCTTCCTCCCCTATTCACGTTTTTATTCGTGTTTGTCACATCTTATAAACCTTGAACCCTTTCTTGTAAATTGTTTTCAATATCGAAACAGAGAAACGAGACGAAAAATAATCAGAAGAAACACGAGTGGTTTTTTTGTGTGTATTGGATGTAAATATTATGGGTATATAAACTAAATATTTATAAAAGGAAAAAAATATATATTGGCTTTCAATATTTCTCTCTTGCTCGGAGGCTGACCACCCTATCACCACCCTCTGTCGTGTGTGTGTGTGTGTGTGTGTGTGTGTGTGTGTGTGTGTGTGTGTGTGTGTGTGTGTGTGTGTGTGTGTGTCTGTGTCTGTCTGTCTGTGTCTGTCTGTCTGTGTCTGTCTGTCTGTCTGTCTGTCTGTTTGTCTCTCTGTCTCTGTTGACATATGTCGTGTTATTTTTTTTAATTATCAGATAACTCTATTTTAATTAACAGAAGGTAAAATGGGATTAAAAAGAATAGTTGTAAAGACCCTGTATGACACAGGAAGTGAGCAATGCACGACTTATTCGTATATCGGAAATAAAATTTGGACATTTCAATTCTTTGAGCATTATCATGTCGTGGGTGAAAAAAAATAGTTGAGAGTCACAGGGGAGTGAAAGGCAAGTCAAGTCACGAAAGGTGAGGAGACAGCCAAGGCCTGATGAACTCATTCCACCTCTAAATCGACAGGATGGGACCACCTCTACTAGTAGTCAAGAGAAGGCGGACCTTTTTGCTGAACACTTTGCTACCAAAAGCAAGTTCCTGATCCAGCAAGGGACCTTCCTTGGCTAGCTGCAAGAACTGTGTCAAAACTGTCAGTGGTGACAATAAGGCAGGAGGAGGTGCATTTCCTTCTTAAATCGCTTGACCAAGAAAAGGCTGTGGGCCCAGACAAGTTGAGCCCAAGATTGTTGAGAAGATGTGCAGACCAGCTAGCAGCACCTCTAACTCGCATCTTTCAGCACTGCCTAGTACAGTGTAAATGGCCCTCTCTATGGAAAGAGGCAAATGTAGTCCCTGTTCACAAAAAGAAGAGCAGAGCAGAAATCAGCAACTACAGACCAGTGTCACTCCTGTCAATCACTGGTAAGATCCTTGAGACAATAATCTCAAGACAAATGACAGATTTTTGACTACCACTCACTACTTTGTGATCGTCAATATGGCTTCAGGAAAGGTTACTCTGCTGCTGATCTGTTGTTAAACCTCTCCACTAAGTGGCACCAGTCACTGGATGAATCCAAGGTCAGCTGTGTGGTAGCACTGGACATTGCTGGCGCTTTCGACCGGGTGTGACACCAGGGCCTCTTAGCAAAACTTCAAGCACTGGGAATTGCAGGCTCTACGCTATGTCTCCTCAGTGATTACCTTCATGGTAAAACTCTAAGTGTAGTTCTCAATGGAACGGAATCAGCAAGACATCCTATTGGGGCAAGTGTTCCACAAGGAAGCGTGCTGGGTCCATTGTTATGGAATGTCTACTTCAACGACCTTCTTCATCTCATCCCAGAATCACATGCATATGCAGACGACTGTACACTGACATTCACTTATTCAAGAGAAGAAATGCCAGCTGCTCTAAGCTACATCAATCACCAGCTGAGAGCTATATCAGCTTGGGGAAATAGATGGCAAGTAACATTTGCACCTGAGAAAACGCAAATGATGATCGTCTTTAGGCACCATGATGGTAATGCTTGTGCAGTAGTAAGGATGAATGGGAGGGTGTTGGCACCTGGAGAAGAAGTTGATATCCTTGGGGTGAAATTTGACTCCAAACTAACCATGAAGAACCATGTTGTAAATCTTGCAAACAAGGCAGCCAGGAAGCTTACAGCACTTCGCAGTATCTCGCATCTGCTTGACAGTAGGGGTTGCAAGATCCTGTACGAGGCACAAGTACGCTCACACCTTGAGTATGCTCCACTTTCTTGGTTTGCCTGCCCCCCCCCCTTCCCCCTCTCATCTGCGACTACTTGATAGAGTAGAGAACAGAGCAAGACGTCTCATCTCTCGCCTGGACCCATCCTGGATAGATCTGTCATTTCAGCAGAGCCTTCAACATAGGAGGGATGTGGGTGGCCTTACTGTTATGTACAAGGCCAATATTGTCAAAATACCACACTTGGATCCACTTCGAGGACAGCGTGAAACAAGCTTTTATGCCACAAGACGGGCAGAAAGCAGCAACTTCAGTCTGGCTGTACCCTTCTCCAGAACATCACTCCATCTGAGATCATACATACTCAGGATGACTCGAGTATGGAACACATTCGTACAGCATAATGATGTCAACGAGATAAAGTCAGTTGATCAAATGAAAATGCTGGCCCACAGATGGCTCCGACTTCATCCTGTTCCCTACTTGTATGTCTCATAACAATAAAAATGCTTTCAAATGAGCCAATAAAGTTAGGAATCCTTAACCTGTAAATAGCTTGTCAATAAAGCTAGGGATCCTTAACCTTGTCAAACCCTGTATAAAAAAAAAAAAAAAAAGCCACGAAAGGTGAGGAGAAGGTTACGAGAGGTGAAGATCTCGTCACAGGATGATCTACAAGGAGAGTCAAGCAGCTGAAGGCACTAGTCACGGCTGAGGTTTACGAGGACGGACGGAACGAAGAATCACTCACCATTTTGTGACTTAGCAGTTGTTCCAGCTATTCTATGGTGACTCAATAACACCGCTATTCTATTGTGGCTCTCATCATTCAGGGGAGTCAATCCCCATTAATACCACCTCTCTAACGCATCTCACATTTCCTCAAGCTGGACAGACACCTGTCTAAAATAACCCCTTCTCCCAACTTTTGGACACCCTGAGTGAAAATCCAGACTGGAGATGGTATACCATGTACCCAGCGCTGGGGAACCTTAGCCGCCCGCTTTCTCTAAATTTCATTAACGTTGGGTAATTATCCGCAAATACAGGTTAACAGATGTTAATCAAACCAGATGTAAATGAGAGTCAAAATATTTGGTTTACCTGTACGACAAATACCCAAAAAAAAGGTCAATTTTTTTTATTACAGTTTTCTTAAGTCGGTTTTTTTTTTCATCAACTTTGAGCATCCGAACTTAATCTTTCTAAAATTTTACGTAATTGTGATGTTAGTTTATTTATTTTTACCTATTTTAAGAAGTTAAAAAAAAAAATTTTTTTTTTTTTTTTAGATCCCAACTATTAAATTTCTCGAAACATTTCGAGCGTGCGGAAATGCACGAAGTATAATTCGTTAAGTAATGGTTGTTCTAACTACAGAACAGGTTGCCCAGAGACGTCAGATTTCTCCCCTTCCCCTCCCCAGATAAAAACTGTTCAACACTAGTTAAACAGTCACCCATTTGACTGTCTTAGCAAAAGTGAAGTACCCTGTTATTAAAGGATGGCCTGCCAACTGTCGCCGCATCTCCCAACACGGCGAGACAACTTTTCGCTCAACCTAGAGCTCTGTCAATTCACGACTCTATAGATCTCCACACGGAGCGAAACGTTTTCCCACCGGAAGCTTTGATCCTTCCTAGGATCAAACGTTATTGCCTCCCTTTCCCCAATCATTGTAAATATTACGAGTATGCCTGTTACCTATGAATATAACGTGAACTAAATCATCCTTTAAATGCTCCCCTTGCTAAGTTGTTACTTGATAATGGTTCAGGAAAGGCCGAAACGCCGTATAATTTTCTTCCCTCCAAGGTGAGAATTATTTGCCATCTTAATTTCGTCTATTGATGTCCGGTTTCGTAAACGTTCCTGGCAAATTCTCTCTCGTGTCTGAAAGTGAGAAATATAAGCGGTGATTTGTGTCCCATTTCTGAAAGTGCGGACGGTATCCCTGGTATTGTGTATCCAAAATATATAAAAAAGAGTAGATATACCTGGTATCATGTATGCTTCTGTGCATACATGATACCAGGTATATTGCCATCTGTTGCACTGGTAGGTGGTGCCGACAAGGGCGGTAGAGTCATAGTTTGTAGAGCAAATTATGCCGAAGACGTTTTGCCCAGTGTCGAGTTTTATCGAGCTATAATTAGCTTGACTCTGGGCGAAATGTCGTCTGGATGAAGCTTTGATCTGCAAACTCTCTCTCTCTCTCTCTCTCTCTCCCCTATGTAATTTCATCAGTATTATCGCCCTCCACTAAGTACTGACGTTGACCACCATTAATGTCGTTGGCATGCTAATATTTTTTTGAGAATTTTGAAGAATGTATAAAAATGTATGATCTTTCCTCCTTGGCACTCAGGATAGGCTCTTCCCCCATCCCATGGCCCTGGGGATAAGCTCTCCCTTCCAGCGTGGCACGGAGAATAGACTCTCCTACCCACCGTGGCACCCTGGGTGCACTCCACTGCCATCTTGGCACTCAAGGTAAGCTCCTCTACCCACTGACGATCTTAAGAGAGGCTCTCTTTTGCATCCATGGCACTCTGGGTAAAGTCTTTCTCTTACCATGGCACCAAAACACCTTCTTTTCCATTATGTTCATTCAGGACTAACGCTTTTTTTTAACCCCCCAATACGGGTGCGATGTGTGTGTTTTCCGTCCCGTTTCCAGCCCTGCTGGAACGACGCGTTTGGAATTGCTAATGGAATTTGGCGTTTGGAACTGCGTAATGCCTGATATCCTCAGACCTCTGCTGAAGTGCCCCAGCTTAGGCTGTGAGATTTCATTACTGAGAAGGAACCCTCTGAAGGAATCCTCTGAAGGAATCCTCTGAAGGAATTTGACATGAAAACATACCTAGCTTTTCTTGCTTCTTTGTAGCTATCATTATGGGATTTCCTGTGAGCACATTGAGTATAAGTTCGCTTTCCCAAACGAGACATTCAGGAACAGGTTTCTTATTTTTTGAAAATGGCACAGAGGATAGTTCTTTTTTCTCTTTGGCACTTAGAGTTCTCGTGCACAGCCTGGCGCTGAGAACTGGTACATAATAGGTCACACACTGCAGGGATCGGCAGTGGTTCACTGCACACTGTTGGTGAAAGTGGGTCTTTTCCCCCAGACACCCATTCCTGAAGCGACCCTGTTGTGTTACACCACTACCCACCCACTGGCGCTGTCGTGATGCCTGGAAACTGGCGAGGCTGGAGGAGAGGGAAACAGGGGGAGAGAGAGAGAGAGAAAGAGAGAGAGAAAGAGAGAGAGCGTACACGAATAAGTGAAAACGTTTTTACCAACTATTGAGGAGGGGGAGACCAAGAGAGGAAGATAAAATATAAATAAAGAATGAAAATAAACGAAAGCATTTTTGGCCACTCTGGCTATATATTTCTCACCCCTAGATTTTTATCCTACACCAGTTTCAGCTGTGCAAAATTACGTTCACTGGTAGTTAGAAACAGTAGATGAGTACAGTTACGAAGAGTGTCTCGGGATTAGCCGACGGAAGACGGAGAATCCATCGCAACGACTTGCTAGGAATGACCCTCACGAGTTTTGCACTTCACACATAGTAAAAAAAAAAGTCTAACATTAAGAGGGACAGAAGAGTAAATATTTATATTTCCACGTTAGTAAAGGCAACTAGTCCATGTATTTTCTCGGCACTTTGATGCCTCGTCAATTATAGGGCTTGACACAGCCTCGGTGATATAATTCAACTTACGTAAATAAACGCATATTTGTTATACTAATATACTTTATATTCCTCTAACCATTCGGATTTTCTCTTATATATGCTATACAATCTTTGAAAATTATTCACCTGTATGCATAATCGTTAATCTGTCATTTTTAAACATAACTGTATACATATTGTTTAATCTGCAAACATTTATTTTTAAATCCGCTTTTCATGTACGTACTTGTATATATATACTGCTTAAATCTTCATTTGTATGCACAAAAACTTGCATACATATTGTATATTCCACCAGTGCATACTCGTATTTGTATACATAGTATACAAGAAACTATACCTACATCTTGGTATGCATGTTTATAATCAGTCAATACATACATATACTTGTATACATAACTTATGGTCCTGATGTTAACGCCTCAGTCGCCACTTTTTGTCTGGGAAAAACTCACAATTTGATTGGAAAACTCTATAGAACGTTTCGTTCGCTCCTGGACCATTGTTTTACGATTTAGTAACAGGAGACTTGCTGATCAGCCAGACCGAAACTTCTCACGTTTCCTCACCGCAGTTGTGGGCGAAAAGTGAACTGTATTGCCACGGTATCGCAAATTATGTTAATCAGTTTCAATATTGAGACTAATATTAGCGGGTTAAACCATGACGTGATCAGCCCGGCTGTTGGTGCCCTCTAATAACCACCAAGGAGGGAGTGTAAGGGGTCAGCCGCACGCTAACGAGCAAACAGCCAATTCGAAGCCACCATTACCACCTGGTGGTTCACCTTTTTCAATAACCAGAGCTTGCCACATAAGTCATCTGGTTGACCTGTTACGATGGTTAAAGAGAATTTAAGGGGGTAGGAAGGGGAAACGGTGTGTGAGGGGAAAGGGTCTAGGGGAGGGACGGATAGAGGCGGAAAGAGAGGTAGAGGGGTGTTAAAGAGTAAAAGGAGTTGGAGTGAGAATAGAGAGAGACACACAGAGATAGCAAGCAGAGAGGGTAAGAGTAAGAGAAAAGATCAATATTAAGAAATGGTAGTAAAAAAGATGGTAAGAAAGAGGAAGGAGGAGGCAAGAACGTCGAGAATAACGAGGACAAGAGGTCATTTAATTGTCACATTGACAGATATGAAGAAAAGTTGCGAGTTACTTGAGGTTGTAAACTCTATTGGCAAGCTTCAGTTCTCTTTTCTAGTGCCCACCTGACCCTTATTGATATTGCTTTCTAAGTGCCTATGTACACATTCCACAGATATAATATATATATATAAATTTTATTATATATTATATATTTTTATATTTTTTTATTATAGGGATCCGATTGCACCATGATGCCGAAAAAGGATATTTCACCATATTCACGCCATCACTTCTTGCCAGAACGGCTTCACTAGCTTTTAAACGGACATTAACAGCCCCTTTATGCTGAAAAAATACTTTGCTTCATTTCACAGGACGCCGGTTAGGCAAATCCCTTTTATAGTGTACGGTGAGAAAAATACCCAGAAGTCGCTTTCAACGTCTGGAAATAATTGAACGAAAACCGTACGTTTTGCATGCGTCGGTCTGGTTTCTTTTTCTTGCTTCATTTTTTGTCCTAAAATAGGGATGCGTCTTGCTACCTCTAAACTTTTGTCCAATTAGACATCGCCTGGGGAAATATTTGTACTCATAGTTTATTCCAAAAAATTGCTTTAAATTTTATTGTCCATAGGGAGTGGTGAGAATCTTGTCTCGTTAGCATGCGTGTGTATGGTGACTAAATCGGGTGCAATAGGTAGTAATTCTCCTGTATAAATTAACTAAATAAGATATATATATAATTATATATATATATATATAATTTTAAAAATATATATATATAATTAATATTTTATATATATATATATATATATATATAATTTTATTTTATATATATATAAATTTTATTTCTTTGCAAGTTACATGGTTATTTCCAACAAGCTGCATGCAAACAGCCAAACAGCAAGGCCACTCAACAAGGAGCCGCACATACATGTGCAGCAGTGTTAGTGCTGAAAAATAAATTTTTTTTAATCAAAACGCCGGGTTAAAGTAAAAGCAAATTGATTTATCTCCTTCTGGACGAGAAATATTTTGTACGTACTTCTCGCTTCAACGTCGGAAATAATGCATCTTCGCGTCCGTCCGTTCGTCGCTGTCCGTGGGGCTGTTCGTGTCTTGCTTTATTTTTTTTTGTCCTGGTTGCGGGGGGCGTGCGTGGCGTGCCTCTGAGAAAATTTTTTGACTCTGCAGTTGGGGTTTGCTGGGGAGAGAAATGTTGTGTTTGGATAAAGACTAAAGGAAATAAACCAAAGAAAAAAAAAGCTGAGAGGAGAGCATGTAGAATAGTGTGGTGTTTTTGTGTGTGTGTGTGGTTTTGTGGTGGTTTGTGTGTGTGTGTGTGTGTTGTGTGTGTTGGGGTGTGTGTATGTGTAATATATTTATATTATAATTTTATAATATATATATTATATATATATAATAATAATATAAAGATTTTAATTTCTTTGCAAGGTTACCATGTGTATTTCCAATTATGAATAGTTAAGTGCAAAGAAAGCCACTCATGCTGGGGCATTATACACTATAGGACACACACTACATTTTTCTCTTTAGAACGCCTGTGTATTATCACTATATAAATTAAATCCAATAACTGCTGACTCATTATCATCTTTTGATCCAACATTAGTTTAACACTGACGACGGTCACACTAGTAAGAACAAGGATGGGTGAATCCCGTAGAGATTTTCTCAGTATTCAACATGATCTGGAAAGTGTCTCTGACTTTTGGTCCCCGATTTGTTTTTGTTTTTCCTGTGGGTGAGGTGAGAGTGGGTGAGGGTGTGGGTAATGGGTTTGGGTACTGGTGTGTGGGCCTGAGAGGGTGGGGTGTGGATGAGGGTGTTGGTAAGCGTGTGGACGAAATGTGGACAAGTGAGTGTGCATGAGGCGTGCAGTAGGGGGGGGGGGAAAGAAAGTAAGTGAGGTGATTGTGTTACTACCCTCGTGTTTATCCTCACTGGATCAACATACGGAGGAGAGATGAAGACGCTGAGAGAGAGTAAGAGAGTCTTATTAAGGAGTTAGTAATCTCTGCTTCTCTCCTCCTTACTCCTTTGCTTTATTAAGCAGCCCACGACCGCAGACTCTGCACTGAGAGTGCAACTCTTGCTTCACTTATAAGAGCGTGTGCACGTTGTCTGCTGTCTTGCTGGTCGAAGTATAGGATAACTAGGGAAGATTAGAAACACTGACGGGGAAGGGGGTGGAAAGGAAGAAAAGAGATTAGACGAGAAATATGGAAGGAATGAAGAATTGCAGGCGAATGGGACGGGATATTAAGGAGGGGTAAGGTGGAGGGGAGATTGAGAGAGGGAACAGGGTAAGGGTATCGAGAAGGGGTGAGGGGAGAGAGGGAGAGGGGATGCGGCGATTATTACTAACTGGGAAATGACCGGAGGTGACAACATTGGTGAGTCATGGAGTATCTTCACTAGGAACTAGCTAGATTACCTGCTACTTGATGCCTCACCTGAGCTTCGTCAGTAATCAGGGAACCCTCCTCACAGCTACTCTACAGATACTCTTTTTTTTTTTTTTTTTTTTTTTAAGTTGGGACCTCTTCACAGGGTCTTCATTTAGTATAATTTTTGAACTGCAACATTTTACAACTATTTGCAGACACTCAAGTTAAAGTCCCTTGCAGCTAATATCACTCGAAAACATAAGACCTTAGTAAAAGTGAACGTGTCATCT